TGACGCCCACAGGGCTAAAGTCCCAAGCCCTCCAGCTTCCTCCATAAACGTGAGAACTAAGGGTGTGAGGGTGGTGCAGCACTCCCAGGTTTTACGCGGGGCTTTGCTCCCGGCTCCGCATGCGGGGTCCCAGTCCCTCGCCTGGAGCTCTGTTTCTGGCCCCCAACGTGGGGTCCTAGCTGCCAGCTCCAAGCCCAGGGCTCCACTCCCGGCCCCGCATGCAGGGTCCCAGCCCCATGCCCGGGGCTCTGCTCCCAGCCCCACACATGTGGTCCCAGCCCTGCGCCTGGGGCTCAACTCCCAGCCCCGCATGCAGGGTCCCGGCTGCTGCTCCGCTCCCGGCCCTGTGCCCAGGGCTCTGCTCCCGGCCCCACACGCGGGGTCCCAGCTGCTGGCCCAGGCCCACTCCCAGCCTCGACCCCCTTACCCCTGTGCAGGTCCCCCCTCCCATAGACACGGCCCTGCTCCCAGCCTCAGCTTTGGGTGGGAGAGGGCACGGACAGGGGTAAAGGGTTGGCTTTCAGCACCCCCATTAGTAAAAGTGTTGCAGCACCACTGTTCCCCTACCCCCCACAGGGCCCTGGAGTTTTTCTAGCATGTTTGGGGGGACTCAGAAAGAAAAAGGTTGAGAACCCCTGTTCTAAGGGATCATTCAAGGTAGAGTGGCTCAAAAGCTTGTCTCTCTTACCCAGTGGTTCTCAAACTGTGGCTCAGGATCCCAAAGTGTGTCATGACCCTATTTTAATGGGGTCTCCAGGTGCTGGCATTAGACTTGCTGGGGCCCGGGGCTAAACCCAAAACCTGAGCCCCCCAACCCGGGGCTGAAGGTGGCATTCTGGCTCAGGTTTTGGTCCCATCCTACTGGAGTCATGTAGTAATTATTGTTGTCAGAAGGGGGTGGTGGTGCAATGAAGTTTGAGAACCGCTGCCAACAGAAGTTGGTCCAATGACAGATATTACCTCACCTACTTTCTCTAATATCCTGGGACTGACACAGCCATATCTCCCCTGACTTTGTCATATGTTCTGGCGTAGATGGAGACTAAATGATTCCTATTATACTTCTCTGTGAGTCCTGCCACTTAATGCAAATAGTGTGAGTTATGTCACCTGGAATGCCTTCCCTGGATTGCCTCATCTACACTGAGCTTCTTCTGAAAATCTCCCCAAATCCACCAGTGGTATGACAACCATGGGAAAGCTGGTGTAAACCAGCCACTGGCATTTTTACCTCCTACGCAGCAGTGCTAGATGACAAAGTAGTAAAAATGTCAGTTGTCAGTCTATATTAGTACTCCCATTGTTTCTGTCACTGCAGCGCTACAGCAATGGTAGGAATATTTCAGAAAAAAAATCTATGTAGATGAAGCAAAAGTGATGTAATTATGTGATTACCTGCAGCTTCAGTGTTATTGACAGAAAGGAACAAAGGTGAATGTGGATGGCATTCAATGGACCTCAAAGTCATTTTTCTCTGTCTTTGAATCTGAGCTCAGTATGTTGGTTGTGACAGTAGAAGAGTTACTGATCAGTCCTTGCATGTAAATTGAATTTATGGACCTGTCTGTTCAACCCAAGAATTAATGAGATGAATTTAACAGGTCTTTTCTCTCCCCTTCATTTATTGCTGGTCGCTCTTTTATTATCTATTGGCCAAAAGAGAATATAAATAAAATGAATGGGTAAACCTATAATGAATGAGAAAACCTTCTGCTACAGCAGGCCTTTAATTAAAGGAAAAGCTAACCAAGGACAGTCACGCACAATATGCTGCAAATCCAAAGAGTAAAAAATGCTGAGAATCTCAGTAAAAACCTTGAGAACGTTAATATTTTAATGAAAATAAATGTAAATAAGACTTGGGTGAAAATATCAAAAGCAGCCATTCTGAATGGGTATAATGCAGTGTTTCACCAATAAATTGTCAGAAGTAAGAAAAATGCCATAAGTTATATTTTCATGGGAGTCAGATCAAATGAATTATCCTTTCACCCAATGCCTGTCAAGGAGGATATAAAGATCTTAATTTGGGTAAGAAAATGGTAATGCTGATTGGCAAGTATATTAAGGATCGGGTGAAATCTAAAATCACTCCCTCTCAGTTGAAGGCAAAATTTATGTCAAAGTGATCCATATTCTTTGTATTTTACTAGACTTATTGCTGCCCCTGGATTTCCAGACTGGGGCCAGGAACACCTACTTTCATCTTTGTCTGGACATTTGCATTTCCTCCCGTGTACAAAGAGGTTTCAAGGGCAGCAGCTAACAGCTAGGGAAGTAAAATGCAAGAGTCATGGTTTGTAATAAATGTGGAACCCCCGTGTGACAATTTAAGGAATCAGTCTATGTACCATTTATGGATGTTGTTTGAGATTTTGAACTCTCTGTATGTACCTTTATTAAGCGGCAAACTCCATTTTGACTGTAAGGATGGTCTTTGTCCTCTGACTGTCTTTTTACCTCCCACTTGGGATGAAATTCGAAGGGGTGACGATGAGTGGCCACGCAGGGCTAACAATGGAGAAACATTTAACCTTGAGCGTCCTCTATTCAAATGGAAGCCCCTTAGGCACAGAGTTCGCCGACACCCGAGCAAACCACTTTTTCAAGAGCTTCTGCCCATGCCACGCCAAAGCCACTCGGCGCCACGAGTCGCTCCCGCCTAGGCCCCAGCGCTCCAATCCAATGCGAGCCCGCCCGGGGGAAGCCCCCTCCGAGGCTCTGATTGGTCGCGACGCCTGCCCCATTTGCCCCCTCCTGAGCCGAGCTGCTGCAAAACGTTCTCCCTTGCTCTACCCCCCACCAGCACCGCAATACGCAGCCGGTCTGGGGGCCGAAACCGAAAGAGCCGCAGAGCGCCCAGCAGCTCTGCTCCCCCCTGCACTCCTGTGGGCAACGAGGCGGGTCTTCGGGCCTCCCTCCGCCCCGCAGCAGCACACCTGAGGCGGGCAGGCAGGAGGCCCATCCGCCAGGCCAGGAAGAGGAGAGGTTAGGCGGGGGGAACAGATTGAATTGCTGGGCAGGTGAGGGCGGGGCCGCCTCACCTGGCTCCGGCAGCGCGGCCTGACACACACGCTGGGGCGGGGCCGGGGAGTTCAGCTAGCACAGGGCGGGCGCGAGCCGAAACGCGCTGGTTTGGAAAGCTGGGTGTGACCTGGGGGCTCTGCCACGCGGCCTGTGCTCAGGCGGGAGGGGTCTGATGCATAGAGACGTATCGGCTCCAGCCTGCATTTGGGGCCACCCGCTTCCACCTGAACAGCTTTAATAAAAACGCATGTTCTGTCAGTTTGGTCCCGTGCGGGCCCTGTAACGAGCCGCCTGCCCTGCTCTTCCAGCGAGTCCGGGGAGGGCTAGGCAATGCGCCTGCGCAGTCGGGGTTCTTGCGCCGTAGAAGACGCTCGCCGAAGGAACGGGGCGGTAGCTGCATAGTGCGCCTGCGCAATAGGTAGACCAAGCTAGCTAGATGTGAGGCCTCTACATTGCGCCTGCGCTGGTGGCGTTCAGGCGCTATTTAGCGCCTGCGCGGGGGGGGGGAACCTGTCTGTGTCTTGTGCTTGCGCGATAGGCGGGGGCGAGCGGGGCCGCCGCAGAGCAAAGCGTCTGTGTGGGCGGAAGGTTGGTGGGCGGCTGCGGGTTCGAGGCTGAGGGCGGCTGGGGGCGAGCCGGCCGGCGGCGCCATGTGGCGGCGCCTGTTCGCGGCGCTCATTCACCCTTGTTTTGTCCCCAGCAGCAGCGGGAGCAGCATGTTCTACGCGGTGCGCAGAGGCAGGAGGATCGGAGTCTATCAGACCTGGTGAGGGTGGCTGCTTCCGGGTGGTCCCCACGCCCATCCCGGCTGGGGGCTCCTCCCCGTATGGGGCAAGACCCAGACACCGGCGTGGATCCCCCTCCCCTACTAGGCCTACCCAGGCTGGCTCCTTCAGCCCCTCACGTCGGGGCGCCGTGTCTCCTGCGCGGCCAGGGAGCCCAGGCTTCCCCGTCGGCCCGGGGTAGGAGGAGACCGCGGGGTCCTGTCCCACCTCTGGGGCCGCCCGGCTCCGTGCTGACGGCCCGCCTGTCGCTGCTGTGTTGTAGGGAGGAGTGCCGAGAGCAGGTGAACAGGTACCCGGCCGCCAGCTTCAAGAAATTTGCCAGCGAGGCAGATGCTTGGTCCTTCGTGGGCAGCGGGGCACAGCAGTCCTCATCCCATTCAGCAGGTAGTACCTCATCAAGCCCCTTCCCTGCGTGGGGCAGTGTCTGTACAGGAACATAGGTTTGGCAGGACCGCTAGGGGTATCGAGTCTGGTGCCCTGCTCGCAATCCTATCACATATCTCCATGTGTACTTACTGTTAGAATTATGTGTATTGCAATGGTGACAGCTCCTGTCCCAAACAACTTACGCTATAAGGCAATGTCTCCCAGACCTTACAGTGATACAGCTGTACTTCAGACATGGCAAACCCATGGAGAAAGCACAGACATTGGGCTTGTTTTTCGCTTAATTGGCTTGCGAGTTGCTTGTTGGCTATTTTTTAGCTTGTTGCTTGTTGTAGCTCATTGCTTTTTTTTATCGGCTCCTGCCAAACAATGGGGGGAAGAGAGAGTTGGGGTGCACAGCGGGCCCACCATAGTCCAGACTGCAGGCTGGGGGGATTTAGTCACATAGTGTTGGGTTCTTAGGGATTGGCTCGTTTTGGCCTTGTTTTGAAATGGGATTAGCTTGTTTTTTGGCTTGTTGTGACAGTCGGGGTGCTTATTTACAGCGTGAAAGTTGGCAACTGTGCTGTACTGCTCTAAGGTCTCCTGTGTAAACGCTCTCTTGCTGGCATAATTAAACCACCTCCAGCAAGCAGCATTAGCTATGTTGTCAGGAGCTGTCCGCACTAGTGCTTTTGTGGGTGAAATTTGTGTCTGTTAGGGGTGTGGTGGTGTTTTTTTTTTTTTTTTTTTCTTTTCACACTCCTAACCAACAAAAGTGCTAGTGTAGACAAAGCCTAAGGCCTGGTCTACACTTAAAAATTGGGTTGACCTAGCTACATCCCTGAGGTCTGTGAAAAATTTCACACCTGGAGTGATATACTTAAGTTGATCTAATCCTCTGTAGATCTAGGTCAGATGCAGAATTCTTCCATTGCGCTAGGTACCATCTCTGAGAGGTGGATTAGCTACGTTGATGGGAAAACTCTTCTCTCGGTGTAGGAAGCACCTATGCTATAGCACTACAGTGACACAGCTGCAGCGCTATAGCTGAGCTGCAGTGGTGTGGACATACTTTTAGTATCTGACAAGAGACAGATGGATACCAGTAGATGGGGGAGTACAAGTAAACAATGAGACTATATAGGTCGCCATGAGAAGCAGTGGTATCAGCACACTAAAGCTTCATTTTAAAAACCAGCTAGGTTTCTTGTCCTCACCACAATTGGAAGGCTGTTCTGGAACTAATGGGTGTTACTTCCAGAGCAACAGCAGGTAAAATTAGGGTATAATAGTCTGATTTTTCTGAGATACAGGCACCCCCACAACTCCCTCCCTGCTCAGCATCTCTGAAACCATACCATGTTGTGTGGCATATATTATATTTTGCATCCTATAACTCAGAGGTCCTCAAACTGTGGGGCGTGCCTCCCTAGGGGGGGCATGGAGGAAAGTTCAGGAGGGGCATAGTGGAGCCCAGGCTTGCCCTCCAGGGGGGACAGGGAAGGAGTGCCACCTAATCCCAGCGCTGACCTGGCTTCCAACCGCAGCTCTCAGGGAGCACAGATAGATTCTATTACTGGTAAGGGAGGGGTGTAACAAAAAGTTCGGGGACCACTGTTATAACTGAATGTAGATCAGTTGCTGTTGCATAGAGGGACTGATGAATTACTGTCAGACAAGCTTCTTTTATCATGAAGTTAACTAAAATATTTCCATAAAATTTTCACTAATGTTATAGTTGAAGGGGTGTCTAACAAGGCATACCTTCTGCTCTTCTTCCACTGCACACAGAGAGCACTTGGAGACACTCTGATTGTAAACACAATGTGTGGTTTATTTACGGTATTCCCCCTCACCAGCAGCATCTTATTTACAACAGCATATCCTCTTTAACTCCCTAGGTCAAGGACAGAAAAGGTGGGAAATCTCTCTTGGGACTAATTCTGAGAGACTGGTTCTCTCCCACTAGCACTTCTTGCCAGTGCCTTAACTACCTTTTGAGCTAATGAGTTAATTACCCTTATAGCTCTCTGCAGCCCATCCCCAATCTAGCCATTAGTCACAACTGTCCTAGTCAGTTTTATTTCCGGGCAACTGATTGGAGATACAGTGACCAGAGTGGTAGTTCAGCTGCTGTTGCCCAGCACTCTGTCACTGGGTGGCATTTTCAAAAGGGCCCAGCACTGGCTTTTAATGGTAGCAGAGTTAAGGCAATGCTGAGTGCTTCTGAAAATCTGCTCTGAGCTCATGTATCCTCAGTATTTAGTAAAACATACAAGATAAGGAAAAATCAAAGATGGCTTTGGATTAGTTATGTGAGGCATCATTATTTACTATGCAACTTTAAGGCTCAGTCTGAGTATTGAACTCCTCTTCTAAAGTTTAATTTAATTATGCTACTGCTAAAATTGGTAATTGGAAATGAAAAATCTATTTTAATATATTTACTCCTGCTAAAAATATTGCCACAGATGAAAAAAAAATCTAGGAAACACAAAAGCCAAATTGTAATATTAAAACATGAAGCTATGCTCATTTATACACAATGTAGGGAAAATACTACATGTGTGCAATGTGGTTGTTAATTTATGAGCCTTAATGGCTGCATGTCCTGATTGCTAAAATTTAACATAGCATTAGTGATGACTTGTACATTTATTTTTGTTCTCTTTTTAAAAAAAAAAATTGTTGGGGATTAAAGGAATGCTGTGAAATTTAACTTGGTACTTCTGCCAGAATGTCTTCTAATACAACTACAATTAGGCATGCATATTATAACTTAACTTTTTTATATTTGTGTGTAATACTGTTTTTTTTTTCTTTTCCTTAAGGTACTAATGGCATATCTAGTTTAACACAAAAGAGTGACAGCTACTGGAATGAACTGGAGACAGCAAGCCCAAGTTACAGTACATGCAAGAGACCATATGAGCAGTCTTCGGAGGAAGAATCAAACAGAAAACATGTAAAATACAATGAGACATACTCGGCACCTTCAGTGAGCAAAGATAAATTCTCATATATGGGTAAGCCTCTTTGGTGGGACTACAATTTATTGAAGTATATTTAATGAATATGAAGTATTTTAAACAGTATTTAACAAGTCCCTAAAGTTGCTGCTCTCACTAACAGCCACAACCTGGTTCAAGTTGAAATTCTCTACAGTGAAGAAGCTTTGGCATGTCTTTTTCTGTGAGAAGCCCTCAACTATTGCTGCTTGGTTTAACAGTGTAGATCTAACCTTTATGGTATGCCTGGAAGGTTCTCTTCTTGCTGACATTTAGCCCCTAGTCCTACCTAATGGGTGATGGAGGTAGGGAATTAAAGAAACTTTTATTTTTGTGTGTGGGAGAACTGGATATCTGAATGCAAGCATTACAGTTCTGGCTTTCTAATAGTAATGTTTAGAGTGCCTTCAGAGCAATAATAAATTTAAGTAATCTTATCATAAAGCGTATTTTGAGTATTTAACATTAGCCATTCTTACATGGCTTGATCTGGCCACTGTAGACAGGATGAAATCATGTTTTAACTGATACGGAATCATGTCAGAGCCCTGAGTAAATACACTTGAGTGAACACATTTAAACATGTATTTTAACTTTTCATTGAGGCTGATGGCCATCTTAGAAAAATAAGATGGGACCTGGAGTTGGGGGCATGAAGCTCTTCCACACACGAATTTTCTTGAGGCTTGGCAAAAATTGAAGTTCTCGTGAAAAAAGTTGGGGCTAAAATTATTTTATGGATTCTGCAGCAGTGCAAAACGATATATACAACTTCTATGTGTAGAAGTTGCTAGAGCACTATTGGAGGAAATATAAATCTGTTAAGAAACAGTTTTCTGTATTTGAAAGAGGCTTATGCCTTTAAACAATTAAAAATTGTTTTGTGACATTTTAAATAGGTTGCATGTATCCATCTCTTGCAGGTGACTCTGTAGTTGTTTATACAGATGGCTGCTGCTCAAGTAATGGGCGTCGTAAGGCACGTGCTGGAGTAGGAGTCTATTGGGGACCAGACCACCCTTTGTAAGTAATTTTGAGATCATAGTTAAATCACTTTTTGTACAAAAACTTACTAATATTGGTGTTGTGTAATTCATCACTTAAATTGTATGGTCTTTAAATTCAGCGACTTCAGAATGAAAAACCCAGTTACTTGACTGAGACTTTCTTTAATAACATCACCAAATTAGATAAATAATGAGCTAGAAAGAGTAAACTCAGTTATTAAATTGGAATATTGAATCACAGCCATCACTGAGGGCAGAAATAAAGGTGCCTGTAGAGGTTAGAAATGTAGGCAAAATATAACAAGACTCAGCCTGGACAAATGCAAGGTAATATCTTTGGGAAGGTTTAATTTAGGCTCCCGTTAAGTGGTTTCACAAGTTTACATATAATTATATTAAAATGACTGTTCTCAACCTGGAGGTTCAACCTGCAGTAGGAACAGGGCCAAGCATGCCTAAATTTCAGATTAGTTACCACTTAAAAACTTAATTTCCCGTGAAGGGGAAATTTTAGTTATGCCCCAATTCTACCTAATCTTTGGCTATACACTTATGCAGTAGTGTGAACCACTAATGTATTTTGCGTTGCTTTTAAACAGAAATACTAGTGATAGGCTTTCTGGACGGCAGACCAACCAAAGAGCTGAAATACATGTAAGTTATGGCGTTTTAAAATTGTTTTATACTTGTGGGAAAGAATTGAGCATTATGACTCCACACAACTTAATCAGCTGCTAAAGCTCCTAGATATTTTCAGACATTCAATTTAGTTTTAGTATGACTCTGCTGTGAGGGATTTAGCAATGATATAAGTCAAGAAGGAAGCTGCTGATTCTGCTAACAGTATTTCTGCATAGGAGTTGGCAGAGTTGCTTTCTGGAACTCACGTTGGCTTGTTCTCTGTTTCTGGGGTTTCTACCTCAAATAGCTTTTGTATTTATGTCTCAAGGAAGATCGCTCAGAAGTAGAAAGGAGTTCAGAGACAAATGATGGCAAGACTTTCCTATGAAAGAACATTAGGACTGTTCAGTTTAGATATGAAATGAATAAAAGCAGGCATGATGGAGGTCTACAGAACAATATCTGGTGTAATGAAGATAAAATGGTGCTCCTATTCAAAAGATAAGGATAATCCAATGAAATTGAAAGGTGACATTCAGAACTGATACAAGGAAATACTTTTTAACACAATGCATGACTAACCTTTGAAATAAAATATCATTGATGTCAAGAGCTTAGGATTCAAAACAGCATTAGACATTTATGTGGATAATCAGAACATCCACAGTTCTATTAGAGAAAAATAGCCAGGATATAAACCCATGGTTGAAGGGATGAGCCAATCATTAACTGGCAGGATTAAGAAGAAGTTTCTTCTATGGACTAGTTATTCCATAATTGGCTACTCTGTCTTCCGCCTTCCACTGATGCATGTTGTATCTTGTCTCTGACAGACTGCTCAACTGTGGGATGTCTGATACATTACTGCAATTTTTGTGTCTGTCTTCACACTAAATTCTCTAGTTGTGTGTATTCTGTATGTATTTTTTTTGTTCACAATCTTCTAAATTACAATTATTGAAACCCTTCCTTTAGGCAGCCTGCAGAGCAATAGAGCAAGCAAAGAGTCAAAACATCAAGAAGCTGGTTCTTTACACTGATAGCAAGTTCACTATAAACGGTAAGTTAACGATTTCAGCTCTGCTGTGCATTGAATGTAGAACACGTACCTTCATTGTATAAGCCCTACAAATCTGTTTCTGTAAAATAGTTTGGGTTTTTTTAGACGAGTGTGTAGGGAAGGGATTATGCATAACTCATTTCAGTTCCCAGTAATAGCAGGGAAAAGGACTCCAAGAACACCCTGCATAGCTTGCCAAAATCACATCCACTGTTCGTATCAAACTCTGGAATAGACAAGATACCTAGCTTAGCAACTGATGTAGGAAATAATTTTAAAATATCAGATACGGAACCTCTACAATAAAGGATTTTCTGGCAGAAGCGCAGGGTACAGTATACAAAATGGTGTATGAATTTTCATACCAAACCCTATAAATGTAGGCTGTATATCTGAAAAGTGGCCAACAAAGTAGTAGTAGGAAAATGCCTGTTCTCTTCTTCCCCCCCCCCCCCCTTTTTTTTTTTTTACTTTGATACAAAAACAGAACCTGAAACACTTCAAGATTGTTCTGCTTGTTTTTACCTCTAGAAATGTTATTCAAGTCTATTCCTCCCTGGTTTAAATGGAAGACTGCTGGAGGGTGGTGTCTCCCAATGTATATTGTGAGATTTCACCTTAGGTGTTAATGTTGAATTTTTACAAGACCTCCTATAAGTAGTAGGCAGTGGAGTTAAAGTGTTCTCTAATAGATTAAACCCCTTTTCCCCCTCTTAGCTTCTCAGCTTGCAGTCCCTTGTGGTTTATAATTTTGGAGTATAGGCATATCCTGAATTTCTAACATGAAAGCAGATGGAGAAAAACATTTAGGTCTTTTATGTATCATAAAGAAGCAAAAGGCACAATTGCATCTTGTTCTTTGCAGGTCACTTCTAACAGACTGGATCCCAGAATCCTTTTAATTTTTGTTGTAGTCTGAGCACAAGCTCTTGATGGGAACTCCTGAGATCTAATAAACTAACAATCACTTTGTGTTTGGCAAGTCAATTTGTCTGCCTCAGTTTCTCCCATTGTAAAACGTGACTGCTGACTGCTGGCTTTTGGGATGAGTTGATCTATAAGTGCTTTCAAGACAAAGTTTGTATGTGCTTAATGATTTGGGCACCGTATCACGTCTGGCTTCCTTGTTGATCAGATAATTGAGTGAGATTTTGTGTAATTGGTTTTTATCTATACTTTCCCAAAATTAGGGAGGCTCTTGGGCAGAACAATGACTTTATATGATTTTTGCATTGCAGGTGAGGAGAACTTTCATCTTTCTGTTTTCCCCCCCAAAGCATGAGCCAGCAGCTCAGAGGGCAAATGAGCTGGAAGTAATTTGATGCCTCCTCTAGGAGGCGATGCCCTCTCCCTGGAGAGGCCAAGGAGCTACTGGACAGGGAACGGGGGATGCTTGGGTGGAAGTAGTGCAGGAGCTGTCCTGTTTTCCCCCTGTCTTAAACTCTGGTAGCTCCCGCTTCTATGTGGGAGAAAGTGGAGGGGAGGTTCCTAAAAGCATTGGCCCCAGAAAGTGGAGGAGTTGCTAAGCAAGGGCTCAGTGGACCAGGGAATTAAAACCAGCAAGGAGGCAGAAGAGATGGGGAAGAGCAGAGTGGGTGGGAAAGAGGAATAATAGATCCATTTAAGTAATCGGTTTCCTTCCCTTCGGTTCCCACCAGGGGGCAACAGTCTCTCAACCATCCCTACTGAGCAGTTTTTCCCAGTTCATACAAATATGGGGATGGGACTGGTTATGGGAGCTTTTGGTCTGGCTTCCTGGAAAGAGTCCTTAACGGAATGAGAATTAACAGCTCAGTTTGTTCATACTGCCAGGCATAAAGTGGCCAACTCTATTCTGGTAACTGTTTCATTAGTAGACTTGTTTAATGAAGGGCACTCCTGTCTTGGACAAATTGACTGATAATTAATAAATTCTTTGACCAGTAGTAGATGACTTTCTAACTCTTAATTAAAATATTGTTACTTTCTCTGTGACTTCAAGGTTTGTTACCCTTCATGTTGTTCTGAATGTGTTCTGCTATATGCCTTCTTTTTTAGGTGGTTATGCATTCCCACCATATGTGCTCCTCTTTTGACCTTCAAATAAAATAAGTTAGTAAAGCTCTAGTTAGAGCTGCACACTGTTAACTCTATTGGCAAACAGACCCTCAACTTCAATTTATTGCAGTTCGCCTGGTAAACTTGCACTTAAGTGAATCTAAACTCATGTATTCTGCTCACAAACGGTGAGCATCAGTACCAGTCAATGGGGAAGCATAGGTGTAAGGACAGATGCTGGAAAGAGACAGTCTTTCAGAATGACTGTATTAGAGAATGAAATCAGCATATTTCACAGATTGCCACCTGTGTCTTTAATGCAGTTGTGGTGAAAGTTAGTAACTGATAGCAGTATGGTCTTGTAGCATTAGTCATTGGGAGTGGGACCATGCCCATAGTCTGTAGAGATAACAGGAAGAACAGTAGCTCTAGAGTAAATATAAAGCATGTTACGGGGATAATGACTAAGACTAAGATTTTTGTCATGGGTATTTTTTAGAAAAAGTCATGGGACAGGTCGCGTGCAATAAACAAAAATTCATGGAAGCCCGAGACCTGTCCCTGACCTACTTTAAAAAAAATAAATAAATAAAAAATACCCTGTTGCTGTTAAAGTGACTAGTGTTTGGTCCTTATATTTACATTGCAAGGATTTGTAAAATAGTTAAAACTTCCTAAATAACTTCCTTTTTAAAGGCATGGTCATGGATAGTCTTCCTATGCAATAGCCACAAGTTATTTACATTCTTAGTGAATTTTAAAAATATATCCAGTTTGTACTTTTATTTAGAAACTGTAACTATCTTCCAATAAAACGTTAATTTGTTTTTCCATAGGTATAACAAGTTGGGTAGACAACTGGAAAAATAATGGCTGGAGAACAAGCACAGGAAAAGATGTAATAAATAAAGAAGACTTTGAAAGACTTGATAAGCTTTCAGAGGGAATAGAAATTCAGTGGGTGAGTAATTTGGTGTCATTAATTGTGACTGAATAAGCTCTACTAACTTAAGTACTTTTGCCTCTAAAAATATTTTATACATTTTCACAAATAAGAGCATCATAAGGAATTTTAATAAACTTAAAACTACCATGAATCCACATAAGTACCAGGAAAACTACTAGCTCCATCCAAAATAATCAGCAAGATTCTGTTACCAAGTAATAATTTTAAGAAATACACATAAAAGGATCTACTGGATCCTAACAAACAATATACTTAAACATTTGCTCATATATTGCCCACCAAGAAAAGCACCACAGTTAAATCTCTAGGGTATTTCCAGGAAAAGGGAGCAAAGCTCAGATCTAAACTAAAATACTGAGAAACTAACAGAGGATGGTTGGAGCTGAAGGTCAAAAATTTAAGGTAAATTCTTATTTATCAGTTTTCAGGGTGTGTAACTTGATACAGTAAAACTTTTGCATTTAGCAGAACTGAAATGTGTCAGAAGCCAGCAGGGTGCAAAACAAACTCTCTAACTCAGATTTTCTGTGGTATATTCAAGACTTTTCCAAGAATATTAGAAGCATGAATATGGCAGTCCTTAGAAACCCATATTAGCTCTCAGTTTGGTAAGAACTCTATCTCAAATGTAGAAGTAGGATACAGTAACTTTTTGCTGAGTAACTAGTTATATTATTTTAAATTGAGTCTGTAACCTTTAACTCTTCTAGTAGAAATAAATGCAGCATTGAGAAGAATTTATTGTCCCCATAGTCATGTTTCTAATTATTCTAAATTTGCCTGTAACCTTCCAGAGATACCTAACTCAGAATCAAATCTCTGCACCATTGCCTTTATGGCTAGTGAAACAGAATCCAAGGAAATGAACCATTAAGTAATCCCTACAAAACAATACAGTGGGCATAAGTGGAGACTTTATACTTCTCATGGGGGATTTTCCTAAAGGAAGTTCCTTCCCTTATTGTACTTTTGCTGTCATTCAAATACTCCACTGATGGATTCTGTTCAGATGTCAAAGGCTGACTAGATATTGTCTCCTCCACCTTGTCTCACTAGTAGAAATATAAGCTCCAGGTTGCAGTTAAGCAAACAACTTTACTAAACTAAAATTTAAATCTGTCTTTTATGTGACTTCCCCTGGTTATAAACAAAACATAAACCTCCAAATACAGCAGAAAATCCGTCTGACAGTGGCTGGAACACTGTATTCCGGCACTTCTGGGAAGGGAGTCTTGTCTTTATAGGCTTCCACTCTACACTTCCTCTCCAGTAGTGCTGCATTGGGAATAGAATTGGTGGAACTGTTCAGATTTTAACAGAACAAATCACCACAATAAGAGGAGTATCCTGTGCTAGTCTGAAAACCAGACAGTGCTGCATTTCATAAACTTGGCACTTAAGTGAGAGCTGAGAATGTTGTTGGGTTTGAGAAATGGTGGCAGAGCTTATATTATGGCCTTTGAGTGAGACTGCCATATGTAAAAGAGGTAAATGACTTATTTGAGTTACGAGGAGTCCGGTGGCACCTTAAAGACTAACAGATTTATTTGGGCATAAGCATTCATGGGTAAAAAACCACTTCTTCAGATGCCGGAGTGAAAATTACAGATACAAGCATAAATATACTGGCACATGAAGAGAAGGGAGTTACCTTACAAGTGGAGAACCAGTGATGACCAGGCCAATACAGTCGGTGGATGTGGTCCACTCCCAATAATTGATGAGGAGGTGTCAATACCAAGAGAGGACCTATATGCCTCCAGCTTCCATCCAGGACACCTCACATGATCAATTGTCTACAGCCAAGTCCTAAGATATAACCAAATTTGCTCAAATCCTTCAGACAAAGACCAACACCTACAAGATATTTATCAAGCATTCTTAAAACTACAGTTCCCACGTGGGGAAATGAGGAAACAGATTGACAGAGTGAGATGGGTACCCAGAAGTCACCTACTACAGGACAGGCCCAACAAGGAAAATAACATACAGCCCCCAGCTAAAACCTCTCCAGCATATCATCAGTTATTGGGAGTGGGCCACACCCATCCTGACTGTATTGGCCTTGTCATCACTGGTTCTCCCTTCTCTTCATGTGCCAGTATATTTATGCTTGTGTCTGTAATTTTCATTCCATGCATCTGAAGAAGTGGTTTTTTTTACCCACGAAAGCTTATGCCCAAATAAATCTTTTTCTTTAAGGTGCCACCGGACTCCTCATTGTTTTTGTGGATACAGACTAACACAGCTACCCCTCTGTTATTTGAGCTAATAAATTCTGGGCTGCTCCAGGATCACTGAATTCATCTGCAACTGGTGTAGTAACTTCTACTTCTAGTCTAGACCTCAACCAACTACACCTCTACCCTGATATAACACTGTCCTCGGGAGCCAAAAAGTCTTACTGCGTTATAGGTGAAACTGCGTTATATCAAACTTGCTTTGATCCGCCGGAGCGCACAGCCCTGCCCCCCCCAGAGCGCTGCTTTACCGCCTTATATCCGAATTCATGTTATATCGGGTCGCGTTATATCGGGGTAGGGGTGTATATGCCTTTGTCGCTTCAGAGTGAGAGCGCCACATGTTGCTGCAAATGCTCTACATTTTGAGACCACTTGAAAAATGAAGCTAGTACTGAATACTGCTCTTAACTTGTTTAAGAAAGGTTTCATGTCAGCAGCATGTGTAGCCAGTGCTCCAGGATTTAAAGATGGTGGTCAGGGTGTTGATTTTAGTCAGGAAAGCCCTTTCTTTCTACTGGTAGTATAGTGCTGTAGTTGTACGCCTGTTAGAAGCCTCCACCCATTTATATTCATCACGGGTGTTCTCCATGATGAGTCCTTGATTTTAGAACTTTTTACTCCTCTTGCTTCTACTGCCAGAACCTCTGTGTAACCTTCTGGACATAATGCAGAGCCCATCTTTCCCCGCACCTTCAAACCTCTGGGGAGGGAAATGGCTAAGAGTTGGGTTTATAATTGCTAATGCATATTAAATGTGGGTTTTGGGTTTTTTTGCATTAGTAATGTATGGAGTTGGCACTCAGCATTGGATATCTGCTTATCGAGGCTTACCTACATTATAATAAAATAGGACCCAGTTAAAAGAATCTAGCTGTGAGAACCCCTACTATGGCAGAAGCAATCACTTAATGCTCTAGAACAGTGGTCCCCAACCTTTTTGTGGCCAGTAGCACATTCATGTTTTCAGAAGAGTGTGGCGGGCACCAAAAATTTTTCAAGGCTTATTTTGTATTTGTACATTAAATAATACGAAAAACATCATATTTAATATTACATAATATATGAATCCATAAGATAAAAAAGGTAATTTTACATGTAAAAGGTATTAATTAAATTATTCGGCAATTACTCTTTCACCTTACCATGTGAATTTGCTCTTTATCTACCTGTAAGAAAAAATTAAGGAGTTCTTACAAAATAAATATCAAACAGTTTTCATCTTATTTATTTTAAAGTAAAACGTTGAACTGCTGGTCCAAATATATTTATTATTCTTACTTTAACATAGCCAGTTATGGTTAATTAAAAATATTCTTTGTATTATTTGTATCCGTATTGCAATAAACAAACCAAGTATGAAAAAAAGTTTAACACAAGTTAATCATAGGCGCTCATCAGCACTTAATGGAAAATCGGTATCATTAATTCACGTGGTTTTACTAATAAAGTCAGTGTGATTTTTGGCACTGCATTTCTTCAGCCAATTTTTCGTAGTTGGGAGAGTAGGATGATATTCCCGTTTGTAAGCAATCGTCAAGATGGGTATCTGTAAGCTGAGATCTGTATTTTGATTTTGATGTTCATTGTTGAAAACAGAACTTCGCATAGATAAGTGGAACCAAAATAAGATTTTATTTTGTATGCTACATTTTTTAAGGCAGGAAACTTTTTTCGGTCAACCAGATTCCAAAAGTTTTCATCTGTTGCGCAGGATTTTAGAACAATATCATTTTGAAGGTCCAAAATCTCCAGTTCCATGTCTTCTGTTCTTACTTGAATGAGACTTCCAATTGATGTAGCCATTTGTTACCTCTATTTGGCAAGTAAAAGGATTCACAAGAAAGGCAACTACAGGCTCAATGATGGTGAACTGTTGAAATCTCTTTTCAAATTGTTCCAGAAGTGTTTGAATGTGGATAACAAATGGTGATGGGTTAAAATCACTGTCACATACCATTTTCCTTCATACGTGGGAAATGTTCAAGAGACTTCGTCTTAATTTGTGACATCCACAAGATCAGTTTTGCTTTGAATGATTTTACAGAACCTATCATTTGAGCCACATGTTTGTCTTTTCCCTGGAGCTCAAGATTTAAAATGTTCTATTTGTCAGTGATGTTAGCAAGAAAAGCCAAGTCCATTAATCAGCTGGAGTCTTCTAGTTGCTTGTAGTTCTGATTTGTGGACTTCAGAAATTCTTTGATCTCTTCAATTAGGCTTAAAAAACGTGCAAGAACTTTACCTTTGCTCAGCCATCGTACTTCTGTGTGCAAGATAAACAATCTGATCTTATCAACATCTTCCAACAAGGCCTTAAAAAGTCGGTGTTGCAAAGGTTTTGCTCGAATAGAGTTAATTATTTTAATAACAACATTCACGACATGTTGAAAAGAGAACTTTGACGCACAAAGCTTCTTGGTGGATAATGCAATGATAAGACATAAAGTTCGGAAAGGATTCATTCTTCTTACAGAGTGCAATGAATCCATTGGCGCTGCCCATCATAGCTGGTGCCCCATCAGTGGTGATTGCAGACCGCTTGTGTAGTGGCATACTAATTGATGTTGCGTATGATTTGAATAAATTATAGATGTCCTCACCCTTTGTTCGCCCTTTCATAGGCACTACTTTTAGTAACTCTTTTACGGTGAAGTCACTAAATACCATCCTCACCATAACTGCCAACTGCACTTTATCCGATATATCTGTCGACTCATCGAATTGCAGTGAAAACCAGTCACATATTTCCAAGTCATCCTTTAGCTGAGTTTGCATGTATCCTCGTAATTGTGTTGTCTGATAACTGCAAGTCTTGTATTGCCAACAAAATCTCACCCTTGTTAGGAAATCCTTGAAACAGGCAATCAGCACCAGTCAAAAATGCTTCCTTCAACAATTCACCATCTTGAAAGGGTTTTTTCTTTGCGAGCAGATGAGCAATTTTAGAGGAAGCACTAGTAGCACTTTTAGACTTTACCACTTGTCTAGTGAAAACAGATTGCTGGGCAGATAGGTTTGATTAGAGTTGATTGATTTCCTTCTTTCTCAACTCAGATTTAAGTGGATAGCTAATGTCAAAAGAGCCGTGATTAGTTTGGAAATGGCGTTCAACATTGTTTTTTCGGCACTGCACCAGCACCCCCGCACAATAAGCAAACACATTTCCCTTTATTTTCAATAAAACAATAGGATTCTTCCCACTCTGCGTTGAAATAATACGTATGTTGTCTTTTATTTGAACCACTCGTTTTGGGGCAAAATGTAAAAATAAATAAATAAATAAATAAACTGCAAAGCACAAGAAAATAGCAGTATCAGTGCAGGAAGAATACTCACATACAGGGCCGGCTCCAGGCACCAGTGGAGCAAGCATGTGCCTGGGGCAGCACATGCTACGGGGTGGCATTCGGTCCATTCTGCAGAGGCAGAACGTTGGTTTTTTGGGGGAGGGAAGGGGAGGGCGGCAGTTCTGTCTTCGCAGCTTCTCTCTGCACTGCCCAGAACACCGGCACCCGCAGCTTGCAGCCCCGGAATACTCTGTCCCCAGCAGGTGCGGGGCCCTGGCTTCTCTCCCTTGATGGGCACTAGGCGGGCCAGCCCCACGCCTGCCAGGGATTGAAAACACCAGCGCCTGCAGCCCCGGAGTTCTCTGGCCCCGGCAGGCGCAGGGCCATGGCTTCTCTCCCCTGCTGGGCACTAGGCGGGTGCACATAAATGCCCCGGCGGGCGCCATGGCGTCCGCGGGCACCGTGTTGGGGACCACTGCTCTAGAGAAGTGATGTTATACTTGGGATTAATAAAGACTGACCAGGTGATCAGATCTCGTGTATTTGGTGTGGTCTCTTGACTATTTGAATCTTGATAGTGTGACTCAAATAACTTTAGACTTATCTCTCTACAGATGCATGTTCCTGGTCATGCTGGCTTTACAGGAAATGAAGCAGCTGATAGACTTGCAAGAGAAGGAGCTGGAAAACAAAACTCCTAGCATGCTATCGTGACTAGAAAACTTCATTCTTGCTAACTAAAGACTGTTTAATCCATAAGACAGACTCTCTTTTCAGTATGAAAACTTCCTGTTGGAATTGTACAAAATAAGTTAATTTAAACTTTGTTATAACTATTTCTGGTTTAAAAGTTTTAAATATATGCTGTCCTGTATAAACACACCTTTTTTTTTAGGGTGTTCAGGTTACTTGGTTAATCACTGCTTTGTTGGTAGAGGCTTGTTTAACAATTAACTGAACATTCAAATATTGGTAAAAGAAAGGTGTCCAGTGTTTTTAGTCCCAGTTGCCACAGTGCCTGTTAAGAAATTTTTTTAGACGTTCCATAACTGAGAGAAAACTTCGGGTTTTACAAAGTATAATTGTTTCAAAAAGTTTATGAATGAAAATATGTTGCAATCTGAATGCTAGACAGATGTTGTTTTCCCTTTACCAAGAGTATTGAAATAAATTTAAACTCAAAGTTTGATGTTAGTATGTTTATAAGCACATAGTGTAGAAAATACCAAAGTGCAATGGTAATTATTTGAACTGCATAATCCTATATAAAACAACTTCCCCAACTGCACCTCCTCAAATAATAACAAGTATTTGTATGTTTGCTTGTAGGAGTGTTATGGATGTAAATACCTGTTAAAAAAGTTAACCGGTAAAATGATTAAAATTATATCATTTGACTGGTTAACCATTAACCGAGGTCGCTCAGGCGGGCAGGGGCTGGGGTCCTGGTGGGCCTGCGGGCCTGGGCCCCCCTCGAGGCCGCCGAGGCCACCCACTGCGACAAGGGCTGGGGTCCCTCCAGCCCAACATGGATCTGTGTGGCCGACCCAGCATGGCCAGCCAGCTGCCATGATAAACAGTTATGGTCTGGTTAACGGTAAGTCTAATGCTTACCGGTTAACCTTTTACATCCTAAAGAGTATCCGTATAAGCTTCTGTAAAGTGTTTGTTCGTCCAGACTTGCAGAGGTAACAATCAACAAGCCAGGCTGCAGGGAAGCATTAGACATGCTTCCTTTTCCAGCCACTTGAATTTCAAGTCCTCTGTAGACTTTGCTTCCAGCTTCTTCCTGAAGCAACCTCTGACTGGCCCCTTATCAGCTACTGCCATCACAAGATGGGCTCCTGAGTGACTTCATACTGAAAAACTGCCATGTTGACTGTTGCATTGTCTTACACCTGTTCACTGAGAGTGATGGATTCACACTCAAATCTATTTGCATTCTGGTGACTTTCATGCTGGTCAGAGTCTTCTCTACATATAACCGTATGGTCTGACATACTACTTGATTCCTGCTTTTGCGAACTTCCTGTGCCACGTTTATTTGAGTTCCCACTGTTTTTTCTGCCCCCTGCTCCTCTAGCACCACCATGCTTTTCAAGTTATTTTGCTGCTTTCTTTTTCCTTCTTAAACCTTTGTAATTTTTGTTCTATTTCCCTCTTCCATATGCCTGTCCCATTCTTCTTTCCCCATGAAGGAGAATTTAACACATTATACTCTGTTCCTTGTCCCGACATGCTCGCCCCCTCTCTTGCTGCATTGACATATCTGTTAACCCCATTCCTGCCTGATTCCTATTCTTTTCTCTCTTTATCTATGATCTGAGTCTGCTGACCTCATTCCAGTTGATTTCCTTTCTTTCGGTCCTGTTCCAAACATACTTTACTGCTCACAATCTCTTTATATATTGCTCTCTACCTTCAGCTCAGTTTTCATGGCCATTCTTCCATACCAGCCTCCTTTTTTTTGCCCATATATCTTACCCTCTTAAGATGCTCTTGTTTCTAGCCCCTTCCTGTGCCAGCTTCCCACACCTTTTTTTTTTTTTTTTCTCCCCCCCCCTTCATTGCAGTCTGACTCTTCCCTTCTTCCCCCCCCTTGGTGGAATCCTCCATCCTATCCTACCTTCACTTCCTGACTCTCCCCTCTGTTTCCCCTATATTATTTGATGCTATTTAGGTTTCAGTTTGATGCTCTGATGCTAAAGCTTTTCCCCTCCTTTCTTCTTTCTGACATTCAGTAGTGTACCAACTCAGTCATTCACTTGACGTGTTCTGACCATTGCCACTTTTCCTGGGCATCAGTCATTCCCCCTCAACCTTGAGACATGCAGCTTTATTCATGTTTTTGTCTTTTTCCCTCTCAATAGTAGCAGGGGATCCTCTACAGCTACTCCCTCTGTTGTATTACTGTTGCTTTGATCCTTTCCCCACCTGAATTCTACCTCCTCTATGCTAGCATTTCTGTACTTACTAAAATGCTGTTCTTTAAAATATCAATTAGTTCTTTAAAATCCTACATTCTTAGAATTTTATACAATATGAAAAATTATCTTCATATGACATGGGCTGTGGCGAGATTGGAGTTTTGCCCCAATTCCAATCATTGATATAAGCTGAACCAGTCACTTCTAGTGTAGATGGGCAAAGATACTCATTTTGACCCTGGTTTCAAGTGGAATAAGTAAGCTCTACTGCTTGGAATGGCTTTGCCCTACTACGCTTGGAGATTATACCATTTCAACTACATGGATGGCTATAAAGGGGCAAATCTCCCGTCTAGTCAAGGCCTTTATTAAACTCAGCTGTAGAGTTCCCTATGCAGTGTCTTGCTGATGCATTAAACATTTACTTTCAAACTGAGCATATTTCTGACCTCACTATAGGCTTTGATGGATAAACTGGACTTTTCCTGCATCACAAATCACTCTCACTAGCTGAGGTTCAGCAGGCCCAATTATAGCTTCATACCTGTGCAGCTGGAGTACCTTTAAATGGATTTACACTGGGGTCACTTGAGGGTAATGGAAGCTTCAGAGGTGTATTGCAGGGTTGTATGTGGCCTGCAGAACTCCTGCTGGTGTTCATGGTTCATCGGCCAGTTTACCTGTTGAAACACAGGCCTTATCATGGTTGCCAGCTCAAAAAAAAAGAGTCCATTTAAATTGATGTGACAGTGGGTTTAAGAACCCTATTCTAATATGTCACTTCTCGGGTGAAAATGCAGCCATGTGTATTGAAAGTTTAATTCCAGTTTAAGTTTGTTAGGGAGCATTTATAAAAGCCTCTAATTACATCCAACCCTTAATTTTACTGGATTAATGAACTTTTTGTGCTTCCTCAGTTTCAAGTTAAAAGAATGTTATGCCTGCAAATTAAGCACTCAAAGATTGGGAAATCCCAGAATTAAGGTTGCCATTGTAACCTTACTTTGGTCCCCTTGTATGTAGGCATTGGCTATTTTTAATTAAATGACCAGTTCCTAAATTTTCTATATGCCCCCCATCCAGGACATTCTATCCAATTGAATGCCACCCTGGAAATTTGGTTGGATTCTTTCCCTGCCTCTCTGCTTCAAAATTTTTGTATAATGCTGGACAAGTCACTAAAGCCATGGAAAAGCCCATGAATAAATAAATAATTTTTGTAGTAGGCCTAGGATTGAGATGGTGGGCCGCAAATAAAGCCAAAGCTGCACCCTGAGCAATGAATAGAATTAATGGAAATATTGGAACAGCCACCTATAGAGTGACCACTGTCTGTCCATCCTGTGCACTGAATGTGGCAGGGATCCTGTGGCAAAAACAATGTGATCATGTAAGTGAAGTCACTGTGTCATAATATGGACGAAAAAGGGGATGAAATAAAGATGGAACAACCTTAATTCTAGGATTTCTTAACTTTTGAATACTTGACTTTTCATTCTTGATGCTGCTTTAGCATAGGTTTATGTAATTATATGGAAGGGGAGAAGGCCTTTCTGAGGAATCAGTAGCACTCTACATATATGCTGTGTACAACAAGCACAAATGCTTCCAAGCATCTCTTCTACAGTAGTATTTCTGCCTTTTTTTCTTCATCCATCAAACACCACTCTATAGTGGGACTGCAGAGGTGTTAATAGGCCACTCTACATTGAGTGGCCCCTTAGGATATACATTAACTGCTTATGCTAACCAATCTGTTCCACCTTGCATTTAGCTGACCTATGGAATACCTTTCCCAGACCCGAAGAAGAGCTCTGTGGCTCGAAAGCTTGCCTCTCTCACCATGATAAGTTGGTCCAATACCTCATCGACTTTGCCTCCCCAGTGATTAGTTTGTGGTGATGGAGAGTTGCTAGAGGGGATTTTGTGTATTACACCTGCAGTATATGCAGGCTCCAATTTTGTACATTATAGCCATTTGGAATTTCACAACAACCGTATAAATAAACCTCTCATTCTACTCCAGCCCCACAGGCCCCTGCCACTGGAGCTAAAAGAGAATCTCTGGTATCATTGAATGGCCAAGGAGACACAGGAGGCTCTTGATTTCATTGAGCAGATGGCAGTAGTACACTTATAGTTCTACAGCAGCTTTCATCCAAGATTTCAAAGCACTTTACAGACATCAATTCTCACCCCATCCCTGCAAGCATTATCTTCCTTAGTACACAGATGGGAAAACTGAACGAGAGTGATGTTAAGTAACCTGATTGGGGGGAGGGGAGAAGGGGAGAGAATGTACAAGGTGAATCTGAGATAAGGCCAGGATTGTAGAACTGTACATAGAAATGTAGAACTGGAAGGGACCTTGAGAGGTCATCTAGTCCATTTCCTTGCACTGAGGCAGGACCAAGTAAACACAGACCATCTCTGGCCAACCTTTTCTTTAAAACCTCCAATGGCAGGGATTCCACAAATGCTGACTGAATTTTGTGGATGAATTGGAGCACACCAGTAATTGGACAAGAGCATTCCACTCTAAGTAAAGTTTATTGAATGCCTAATTAAGCAACTATTAACCATTAACAGCACTCTAGCTTATGCAGTCCAGCAGCAAAGTCCCACAAACGGAGCTGGCCAAGCACCGGAATGAGTCCTCGGGATCTGCGTCAATGGATCTTGATGTTGGCCTGTGAGAGTCTCAGACATCCCAGAGTGCCAAACTTCTCCTCACAGACTGTCTTTTATACTCTGCTGTGTTGTCTTAGCAACCACACTGTTTGTGCACTTTTCCTATATTCTCTGGAACCTTCTATCTCTTGCTTACTATGTTCTTGCCCCCTTCCTATGAGCTAGTTCTAACCAGTCTCAGCCAGTTTTACCATGAGCTTCTGTAACCTAGCCTGCCCTCCTCCCCAAGTTCCATATCCTCCTCACCCAGGCGCCCAAGAACACAGGGGGGAGGCTCCGGGCACCCAGCCACTCCACTCCAGAGGATGGTCAAAGCAACAGAAGGCTGTCATTCAAACAGTTTTGATTTGTAGTGTGGCTACAATACGCAATGTGGCCTTGTCTTTCCCTCCTTCCCCACCCCATCCCACCCAGGCTACCTTGTCAGTTATCTCACTTTTTTTTAAATTAATAAAGAATGCATGGTTTCAGAACAATAGTTACTTTATTTCCTTTGCTAGCTGTGATTGAAGTGGGGAGGATGGTTGGCTTACAAGGAATTAAAATCAACAAAGGGGGCAGG